TGTGATTCATTGTGGTGGGTTTGGTGCCGATGCTTTGAAGTTGAAGTCCGGTGCTAAACTGAGAAAAAAGGGGCTTTATAATAGTCAGATGTGCAATTGTGCAAATGCTTGTGCCCCAAGGATGTAATATGATAAATTGTTTCGATATATTATTGGTATTGTCAACATATAAGCATCTCTCTCTCTCTCTCTCTCTCTCTCTCTCTCTCTAGAGGTCAGTCTCAATGTATCATTTTCTCTTATTTCCAAGTGATTGAAGTTAATGTGATTCCAAGCAGACTAGCTAACGACAACTAGCTGTGTGCGTGTGCAGGAAAATGTCTCTTGTTTGGTTTTCCATAGTGGGCTTTCTCTCTCTGTTCTCAATTGTTCATGGGTATGATGGGGGATGGATTGATGCTCATGCCACTTTCTATGGAGGTGGTGATGGTTCTGGCACAATGGGTATGTATGCAACAAAATATACCTGTTACTAGGCTAACAATCTTCTCTTTTTAAATTTCTATGTTTTCTTGTTTCAACACACTCCAGTTATTAGATCATGAAAGAATCTTGAAATACAAAAATTTCTAAGAGTTCAAGACATAGTGAGAAAGAGGTGGGCAAGGTTCAAGACTTGGCCCGCAAAAATTACAGTAAGTATTGAATATAATAGTAATATTATTTAACAATATTATTAATGAATTAAAAAAAAAATTATATTGTCTCAATCGGATTTTTTATTTTTATTTTTTTAGAAGGGATATTGTCTTAATCAGATTAGTATAAGATTAAAAAAAAACAAATTCATCAAATCCCATTTGCAGATTTTTGTTGATTAATAATACCAAATAAGTGTTGGAATAGTGTAGAGGTGTTTTTGGTATTTTTCAGTTCTGCTATGGTGTCCTAATATTACTTATTTATATTTGAAGTTTTGCATCTCTCTATACTGTAACTCTTTTTAGATTAAAATAAATCATGGCGACAGTTGCTCTATTTTATGGTAAAATTTTTGTATTGTTATGTGGTTAACTTAATTTGTTATTTGATTTTTGTTTGTATTTCGTATCTCATCAATTTAAATTAAGTGTATTAATTCTTAACAATACGATGATATTGCAACCCCAAGCGGTTAGTCTAGTGGGTGCCACTTGAGACTTAGCAGTGTTTATTCTAGATCACAGTTTAACTCCCGTTAGGAGCACTCTGCTCTTTGGAGCCACGCTAGCGGGCTTTACCCGAGATTTGTTCGATCCACGTAATCCACGTGGAAGGGGCACTTTATGTGATTCTCGAATTAGTCGAGATACATGTAAATTGATCTGAACACTCGATCACTAAAAAAACAAATAATAAGACGATATGGCTATTATATTAAAAAAAAAATTGTTGTAAAATCACGTGGTAGGAAACAAAATGTGCCTAGTTTGCACAGACGAAAAACCACTTAAACCAGGGCCGGCCCTGAGGTGAGGCCATTAAGGCAGTCGCCTCGGGCCCCAATTTTGAACAAAATTTAGGGTCCCTAATTAGGGGAGTGTATCATGTCATGTTATTTTATAATTACTTTAATATTAGTTCAATTCATTTATTTTCATGTTGTTGCGTGGTGTTATTTTCATTCGTGTCTGATTGATATTTAATGTGAAAACTTTTATTTTTAGTTAAAAATAACTTAGCAAGTGTATGAAGAGATTAAAATTTTTCCCATAAGTTGAATTTTATAAAATTTATTTCTACTAAATGAAATTATTCATAGAATGCTTGTTTTTAATTCAATTGCATTTTTCTAAATAAAAAAATTGTACCTTATTACTATATATTTTTTATTACATTGACTTTAAAATAGGTAACAAAAAAATACATATCTTAAATGAAAAAAAGATATAACCCTTAATTATTATTTTACATACTTTTTTTATTCAGTTAGATGAAATTAAATAAAAGATTAAAAAAATGTCATCGCATCCCTTAATGAACATTAAAATATATAACTAATAATTCATATTATTGAATCGTGTCATACTTAGATTCATGTTAAAAAATAGTCAACCCTAACTTACTAATTTTATATATTTTGAGTTGTGTCCAAAATTCTCATCCTTACCCCCTAATTAATTTTAGTTCTTATAGCATTGGTAAGTTAAAAAATAAAGATTCGATTCAACTAATTGAAGTTCAACTATTATATATATATATATATTATCTAAATTTTGTTAAATTGTAATGCAATAGAAGTAAATTTTTATCCTTTTTATTTTATCCAAACAATTTTTTTTTAAAATAATGATACATGAAGATCCCAATTTAAAAAATTTTCCTTAGCCCCAAATAACTCAGGGCCGGCCCTGCTTCTTCACCAATTGAAACACATCTGAACCACTGTATTGCCGTACCTAAGGACCAGAAAATAACTTCTCCCTTCCCCTCCCCTACGTAAAGACAGCTCCAGCTATTATGCCTCGAATTCTCTTTCTCCCTCTCTCTCTCTTCCACAGCTACTAATCCATCCTAACCTCATCAGACTTACCAACGCAGAGCAGCAACAACGGCTGCCACCAGATTAATATCACTACGTAGTAGTATGGGAATATATATTGTATATATGGCATGATTGTATATATTAAGAATTAGACAATTTCCTTTTCTTCCTTGTGTATATTAGGAATTAGGCAATTTCTTTTTCTTTATATTTCCTTTTTCAGGTCTTAGGTTTAGGCAATATAAACCGCTGACCTCTTTGCAAATATATACAATTGAATATGTTTCATTCAGAAAACTTACAAATAGTTCTAAGCCTTTGGGAGTTGGTCTTTGTTCTTTTTCTTCTTCTTCATATATTACTCGTCTAAAAAAACTCAATAATTTGGCATTGTCATCGACAACGACTGTCATGATAAGGTGTGTATGCGAAGAAGAGAAGCAGTGGCTAAGCAAGAAGAAGAAACAGTCGGTGGTGGTGGTGAAGGCGTCTGTGGCCGCTTCAGAGAGTAGTAATGTCCTAAAAACTTCAAAGCCGCCGCACCAAACAAATGCAGGAGAAATAGGTATGGCCTCTCTGCTTGCAAAGGTTGCTTTTACGGCGCTTCTGGTCTTAAGGGTCGTTACTAAACCAAGACCATGGAAATTGCATCCCCAGATGCTCATTAAAAGGGTGCGTTTATTTATTTATTTTAATTTTTTAATACCCCAATCGTACCTCATAATTTGAAATTTGTTAAAAGCCAAATATTTTGGATGTGTTTTGTATATAAAAATTCTATTTGTTAATGATTTTCTGAGCTGATTAAATAAACTTGGACTGGCCAGATATTAATTATATGAGAGTATATGTATTAATTGTTTGATTATTAATAAGGCATAACAAATTAGTCTGTATTGTCTGAATCAGTCTATTCGATCTTGTTTTTTGTTTTTAATTTTTCATTTTTAGTAATTTTTTTTTTATACTTTTTTACATATCTTTTATTTACTTTTTAAGTATATCTAACTTAGATGAATCTAAAAATAAAATAAAACTAAAATATGAAGAATTTTTTTTTTTTAATAGAAACATAAAAACACAAATAACAAAACAACTCAATAACTATATTTGAGTTTTACAACAAAATAAGATAAATGGAATTAACTGTATACACTGAGAAACTCGGGCATGTTTGATATTGTTTCTGTTTTTTGCTTTAGTTTTTTTGTACTTTATAAATAAAATAATTAAAAATTCAATAACACACTCATTATTTTTATATTTTTTGTGTGAAGATTATTTTTAAAAAATTATAAATATCTTTTTAGTGTTCTTTAAAATGTAAGTTGTGTCCAAAAAAAATTCTAAAAAAGTTGGTCAAACATATTTTTTATTAGAAAATGATAGAGAAATCCACTTCCTAGAATTAGTGATGTGTAAAAGATATAATTAATCAATGATTAGAGAAAATAAATGCATGGGAAAAGGCCCAGCTTCGTACGTTATAGACAATGATAGGGAACGAGATTTGAGCACAAAAACATGGTGTCGACATGATTGGTTCATTTCCTACAAGCACCAAGTACACTTCTTTTGTTGAAGTTTTTCTTTATAAATGATAAAAATACACAAACATATGAATAATGTTGGGGACATTGACAAATATATCACTAAATATACAAACTATAAGGTACAAAACTTAGATGTAGTTTTGTATTTTAACGTTGCAAACATTATTTCCAAGATAGAATTATGTTTAAACATACCAAATACACATAGAACTATGTTTGTATCCACAATTTGTATTAATAAATTTGGAATGCATTTGAAAGAAAGATATAATTGTATAACATAATAATTTTCTTCTGTTTCTTTGTAAAATGGGAATATTTATTTATCAGCTTGTAAAATGGGAGTACTACTACCCATGAGAATTGAATCAACTAACAGTGAATTATTACCTTGATGTCATCAGAATTGTTATATATCATCTGTCCATTTCAACTCACGAATTGTTATATATTGTGCAGGTTATTATCGACTGTCGATTCTTTACGTTGTTCGCTGTTGTGGGATCCTTAGTTGGTTCAATATTGTGTTTTGTGGAGGTGTATAATGAATATAACATGCATGAATTTAATTACTTGTTTTCTCAAATTGAATTAGGAAGAAAATAATGTCTTTCTTTTGTCGTTTTCCTCTCTTTTCTGATGTGCTGTGATGTTAATTTCACAATGTAATTCCAGGGTTGTTTCATGGTTCTAGAATCCTATTTCCACTATTTTAATTCATTGTCCCCAAGTCCAGATCAAGGAGACGTGATGCACTTACTAATTGAAGCAATAGGTATCCTCTCTCTCCCTCTCTCACGTTTTTTCTTTTTTCTTTTTTTTTTTTTTTTGGACAAATTCATTAGTAATACTAGTCCTTATATTTCGTTTCTTATGTTATTTTGATCCCTATTATTTCAATTAGTTTGATTTTGACTTCTAATTTTAAATTTTGTGTCAAATTGATTCAATTAATAATGCCAATTTAAATTTTTTTAAATAAAAAAAAAAGTCACTAAATTGGTTAAAGTCAACTCACAAAGCTTGTTGATTCAGTAAAGGTAAGGGTTGCTATTTGGATTAAATTACATCTGATCAAGGAGGTACATACTCAGTGCATGACATTATGGAGAATCTTAGTCATATTAGGCTGTGTCAGTAAGGCGATAGTTAGTTGTGTTTTATGTTGTAATGTTGGCTGATGGGTTTGGTCTGTTAACGTTTGGGTGTTTCAGGGTTTTCGGAGGCTTGGGGTTTTTTCCGTGTTCTCTTACTGCCAATTTAGTGGTGTTTTGAGAAGTTGATAAAAAGTTAATTTTTTTAATTTTTGACGTTTTTGATGACTTTTTGAACAAAAAATTAGGTTGTTTTGGATAAAAAAATTGACTTTTTTTTTTGTTAAAAAAGCTAAAAAGTCAAAAGGCTGATTTTTTTAGTGTGTACCCAAAAGATTAGTTGGGGTTGGTGAGATCTGTTATGATAATTTGCGCTCCCCCTCCCCCTTTTTGTTGTGTAATATCTTAATACTCGGTATAGTTATCTCATTAATAAATGTTCCTTTTTTGTTGATTTTAAAAAAAAAAACTCTTTAAAACATGACATGCTACTTATGTGCACATTTTTTATATTTTAAAAAAAAAAAAGTTGTATTCAATTAAATAAAATTGAGACAAAATCATAAATTCAAAATTAAAATTGAGTTAATTGAAATTATAGAAATTAAATGATACGAAGATCAAAGTATAAGGACTAACAATGTAATTTGTCCATTTTTTCCTTTATTCATTGCTATGTATATATGACTAGTAGTAGTAGTAGGATAGTAGTGTTGTTAGTGATAGAAAATGAGTGAATCATTTGATGCAGATATGTTCCTCATAGGAACAGCAATGCTGATATTTGGGATGGGGTTGCATGCCATGTTTGTGGGTTCAAAATATCTCAAAGGAAAAGGTTCACACCTCCCCTCTTCAAACTTCTTTGGACTTTTCTATCTCAAGGTGCCTCCCTCCACTTGTTTCCTACATTTACATCCCTCCAAATTGTATACACACAATTTCTGTTCTCATTTTTTTTGTTGTCCTGACTCTCTTTCCTATGCTCTTTTTTAATTTTATCATCTCGTCAAAATTTAAATATAAAAATTAAATATAATTTTCTAAATCATTAAAAGATAAATTAAATTAAATTCAAATTATAAAGATATTATAGCATTACAAGAGTGGAATAAATTGTAACAAACAATATGAGGATCCAAAGTCACTAAGAATAATGACCTACAAATGTAAATATAACATTTTGCTCAATTAAATTAGGCTTCGGTCACAGTTTGTGCCGGACAATCCCGACCCTAAAATTTAAGGCTTAGGCTATGGACTTTGAGTAGTCAATGTGCCACACTTTCGCTGACCCATCTTAGATTCTTAAAGCCGAAGTCCTACCTTTGATCTTAAAATTATGGGCTTGTAAGTTTCGCTGGGTTTGGCGCATATGAACCTAATTTGACATTAATTCGGATTTTAATTAGAGTTTTCTTTATATATATATATACACTATAACAGATAAGAGTTTCAGAAATTTAATTTTTTGGTGTCTAAAAGTAAAAATTTAATTACAAAAAACATTTAAGGGCCAATTTTTATCTTCATGAGAATAGTCACTAAAAGGTCGTTCCGAAAAGTAAAAAAATAAGGCTAACAAATTTTGAAAAATGTCACTAATAAATATACTATTAGGGACAAAATATAACTTGATCTCAAAATGTTTATTTTTTTAGACAAAAAATTTAGTCTCAAAAACAACAAAAGAATTTGGTCCCTAAAAAATAATTTTGTCCTTAAATTTTGATCCCCAAAACCTTAATTTTTCATAGTGATATATTTAAAATTCATTACACAAAAATTTGTAATAAAAAATTTTAAAGTGCATCACAACAATTAGAATATTAAACTTTATTTATTAAATAAAAAATTAAGTCCATTAAGTTATTAAAGTGTACTCTCATGAAAGCTTAAACTGTGCTAACTAACAGTTAATTAATAATTACTTAAAAACTTTGATTTTGTTTTGTTTGTTGGACGATCTTCATTGTATTTAAGTAGATTAAATTCTGTTGTGTACTAAACAATAACGAGAATATAAAGAAATAAAGGAAATAAGAGAAATTATTTGATTACAAAAATCAAACTAGCAAAATAAGGCCCAAAAGAGAGATATAACACAAAGTGCATAAAGGATACCTCAAACAGTGAAATGCCCTTAATGAAAAATGAAGAGGGCGTCAAAATAAGGTCATTTGTAGTTCGGACCTCAGCCCAAAAACAGAAGCACAATAGGTTAACAAATCATGCAAAAATATGGCCAAAAGAGAGATATAATGGCAAGTAGCAAATGGAAGCCTCAAACACTGATGAGCCCTTCAAAAATGTTGAAGAAGGGATCAAAATAAGCAACTTTACAATTTATGACATGCCTCAAAAAAGTTTATACATAAGCCAGAAATACCACACAAGGAATAGGCACACAAGAGGGGTAATGAAGCAAGTGCAACAAGGAGGCCTCAAACAGTGAGAGGCCCTTAATGAAACATGAAAAATGGCTCAAAATAAGCTAAGTTCCAGTTAGGGTTGAAGCCCAAAACAGCAAGCAAGAATGACTTATGTATTGAACAAAATATGGACCAAAAGGGGGGAAATGGAGCTTACCCTTGAAGACTTGTCTTTGGAAGCTCTTTGGCTTGAGTTGCAGCACTCCTAGGCCTTAAAGAACAACCTCCAGCTGTTGGAATGGAGGATGGAAGGGTGAGGCTTGGTGGTGGTATGAAAAGGGGTATAGGACTTGGAAGGTTTGAAGCTTGGAAGAGAGGGAGATAGAGGTGTATGTATGCAAAGCTCTTAGGGCAATCTTGTAACCCTAAACTAGCAGCTGGAGCTGCTGATATATAGGCAAAAAGAGGGGGAAATGGGAAAAAAAAGTAGGGAAAACAATCAAGTTTCCCCCCCCCCCCAAAAAACACCCCCCCCCCCAACCCACTCGCGGGGGGAAAAAAAAACCAGCAGATGGCATCTGGCCATAGTCGGTGGTGTGTGGGGATGCATCACAAGGCATTCCCTGCACTTCCAAGGCAAAACACAAGTGTTTGGTATGAAACCAGACACTAAACGGTCAAGTTCGGAGATCCTGAGGTAGGGCGCGGGAGCCGAAACCTCCGGGAACTCTAAACGAACACATACATGAATAATCATCGAGTGTTCCAAGCGCCCTCGGATCAGCGTCAAGGACGG